GTTCCATCGGCTATCCTTGACATTTCGCCATCATGTAAGCGTAGTCCATTTAAGGGAACTGGTTGCGCATGTAAATGATTCCGTCCACCATGTTGTTGCCGGAAGCAAAGCCAGAGTAAGCTTCAGTAGAGCTCTGTACACCAACAGACAGGGCGCCCCAAATCCAGCGGTTACCGCTACCATCAAGCTCCCAGAGGGGACCACCGGACTGACCGCCCATGGTGTCAGCATCGGTCCAGATGGGGCCAGTTGAGTCACAGTCGAATGTGCGAGGCTTTGAGTGGATGGTAATATCGGTCTGGCGATACGGGCGACGGCCGCCGTCCTTGTCGCCCGGGTAGCCGATGTGGAAGAACTTAGGCTGGTCGAGCATGCTGTGGTCGGGTAGCTTAGCACCAAAGTATCCAACACGGTCGCCGAGGCGCTGATCGAGAGCATAGATGGCCCAGTCTCCCTTAGTATCACAGGCAGAGGCGGGTTCCTGGCCGGTAGTAAACAGGACGTTGGTGAGCTGCGCCTCGCCGTAGCGGTTACCGTTATCATAGCCCGGGGCAAAGACGCCGGGGACGCCCTCAACGTAGCAATGCCTGGCGGTAAGGACAAGGCGGGGCCCGATCATTGCACCGGAGCAGAAGACGCCGTTGGAGAATAGCAGCCGGCCGACTGCAATAAAGGGATAGTTGGGGTCGTTCCAAAGGTGGCGGTCGTCGGCGCCAATGATGAAGCGCTTGTCTACCTCGCCGGCCTCGGTATCGGAAGGGAAAGGCGTGAATCCGGGGGCTTCAGTGGAGTTATGGACGAGCTCATCGATGTTGAGGGTTTGGACCTTAGGGACGGCGGCGCCGGCGGGGAAACGTCGGGCGAAGCTCTCGTCGAAGCCGATGGGGTGGACTTCCTGCTCTTGTCGAACGTTCACAGGAGTGGCGTTGATCTGGCAGCAGAAGGCGAGAACGGCCGCGGCAACTGAAACCGTGAAGCGAATCATGATGTCGCTTGAAAATCAACTCGGGAACGGGTGATTGAAAGACAAGCAGGATATCGAGGGGCAGATAATTTGATCTCGGACTTGAGTTGGTTGGGCAATTCTGCTGAGAGGCGCCTTGAATCCAGTGGGGAGTAGCTCAAATTTATACTCGTTTGTTGACGTGCTCATCGTACAGGAGACCTGATGACCAAGTCGTGCAATTTGCAGGTAAGTGAGTTCGGAATACCAAGCCGGCTTGGTTCGATGCACTTTTAGGCATAGGCCATCAGCGACGAGACAGTTGTCAGCCAATCTTAGAGCTGTTTAGGCTGAATCCCTGGACAAGGGAAGAACTTCAGCAGGCAGCAAGGTCTCTATGTCAATTCCCAAGCAGGCCTCAATTCCGAGTCCTCGCTAGTTGCTGGCGCATTTCTCCAGACGTAGTGTCTTTATTCGTAGGCTCCCAAAAGCTTCATCTGTCATCGTCCCATCCAATGGAGGAACTTTGGCAGCAGCTGAGAACTTTGGTGGTAGCTGAGGACTGCTGACCCAACGTGATAATGTCAAAGGCTCCCCTCCTACCCTTGGCAGGTCGGTAAGGCCTGGACCCTGCAGATTAGCGACCCCCGGAATCCTTCCGTTCGGATTCCTATAATATTGATCCTACGAGACAGCCTTAAATCTTTCCGGCCACTCGTTTAGCCTGGTGCTCGTGGTGGCCAAGGATTACTTGCAGGTGCGGCTCCATAGTCAAAATAAGCATCATGGCCCGTTGAGTCATTGCCCCATTGGCTCGATAAGCTTAACAACTCTTCAGCAATTTATTTAGTTCCAATCCAAGATTTGCAATCATGGAGATATGTATAGATATGTATGACTTAGTCTGACTTACCTGTTTTAACATATCTGCTCCAGGTTCAGTAGCGGTTCAGAGAACCTAGCTTTAAGGATAGACGCCGTTTAGACTTACGGTGAAGGATCACAATTGTATTAGCTGACTCTAGCCTGTGGTAGGATCCATTGACTCCTGCCGTTTTCAGCGAGAATGTAACAACCGTGCTGACCAAGTCTCGCCAAGCTTTCCAGGCAGCAACTTCGTCAGCAATAGTCAACCGAAGGTACACCAAAGTTCTTTTTAAATGGAGTCCTCCTGTTATTACCCACATTCAGGAAAAGTCGACCGGACGAAGTAGGCTCACCTGTCAGACACGGAGTTGCTTTGCAGGACTAGAGCTGAGCGGCTAATGCGGCATGGTGTCGCATATACGATGCCCTATATGTAGCATTAACTCCTTGAGCTTGTGTCTTGGCAACAGCCGGGTATTATTGACACTTGAAGTTGATAAGACGGGCAAAAGTGAGGTAAAAATGAGGATGAAAAGTAAGGTGATAGGGCATCGGACACCGTAAGGGGGCTGGAAACGTATGGAAGAGAGCTTTCTCGTTAAAGGGTGCTTCGACTTAGATCATATGCTCTAAATTGAAAGATTTTAGATATTTTTGAATCTATCCCTCAAGTCTGGCAGCGGGAAATTGGTGTGTCAGTAATGAACTCCCTGTAAAGATACTTATCTGGTAGCTCGTACCGCTCACCCATGCTCACCCCATTGGCGCGACCTTAGAGTGGCGGGTGATCTAACCACACCTAAAATTTCGAGTGGTGTACTCATTCGCAAGCTGGTAATTTTCAAGTAGTAAGCCAGGAGGCACAGTTCAGCACCTCCGCATGTCCTTCTGCTCCTAAACCCCAATCGCTGCCCGTCTGACATCATGTGAGCATATTGCATAGTTGCAGAATTCAAGAGCAACTAGCAGTAGTTATAATGTTTACAAAGTCATAACATACGACTCCACCGTCGGTGACTCTCCTTACCGTCATCACGATGCCTTGAGCAGTCCACGTGCTTGTCTATCAGAAGTACCGTGGAGTGATTACCAACACAAGCATAGATATCGGACTTGATGAAGTCCGTAATGCACGCCTCAAATTAATTTCAGACGTCCTATAATTACTATTCGCAACATTATTAAAGCCTCATTTCTCTTAGTCCCGAATATTTTCATCCATGCTTACTAATCTGAGAAAGCGTAAGTCTGATCAAAGGTTTCGTTATCAATTAAGCAACTTCAAGGGAGAATTCCAAATCAAAACTCCAAAGCCTCAAGATAGATAAGAATCTGACGCGGTATTCCCTATTTACCAGGCCTTCTAGCGTCGTTCAAAAGAGACCATGGTCATGTGCGCGGATGAAGATCTGTTCCGTATGAAGCGCTGCCAAATCATGCTTACGTTCAAAACCGATTGTACATCCCATATCCCATACCCTTGAATTGAGGAGGACTTTATTTTCTAAAGGTGCATGATTATGACGCCAAAGCTTGCCTCGCGCCTGCCGCCAGCTTTGCACCGTTGTATCATCCTTCGTTGTGGTGTTGGTCGACCGATGACACGTTGCTCCAATATCGATACTAATCAGTGTCATTAAACAGGTGACTAACAACATGGTTCCCTCTCATACCCTGTGTCGGTCTCAGCTTATTCGTGCTCGTGGTGACGATGAGCTGCTGAGGTTGGAAAGGGATTGTGTGCGATAGTGGTCGGCTTCTACCAGAAAACTTAAATGCAGGTGCTTACACAATGCGGTCTAGGGGGGAAAGGGGTTTGGCAAGTTAGACAAAAGGGATGACAGGTGATGACAATGAACATCAGAATTGTTCGGGGTGGAGCTGCTTGATCACTTGCTCGACACGTAATCTGGTTTGGTGCAATTGACTCTCTTCAAAATAAACATAATTCCAACAACCGTGCGTATTAAGACAAAGATTGGTCAAGAGATCTTGGACTCAAGTTCTCAACCAGCGAAGAAAACCGTGTTCAAGGCCCGGCATTCCGACAAGGTTGAAACTCTGCAAGTTTGATCGCAATACCCAGTTACTGAAACCATATCTGATGAATACAGTGATAACCACGGGCGACTCATAGCCTGCTTGGGCAAGAGGGCTTCACAATAGCCGCACCCTGAAACTTTCTAAAAGTGAGCAGCAGTCGACGAAGTGATAAAACAAAACAGCCCCCAGTCCCGCTAGATCTCAGCAGTGACCTGGCTTAAGATGGAGGATCGATCACCAGTGATTGGATTCACTTCGTCGCTAGTCAGCACATGCTGGGTCTTCAGTTCGAGCTGGCACCCGAATGGCGTGGATGCCAGCCATCGCGAAGAAGAGCTCCATGCGGCAATCGACAGCCTTCCATTGGATCTCGACAGAGCTTTAAATTTCTCCTAGTGTTGCTCACGGGAAGCATCACGACGGTCACGCCATGACAAGGAAATCATGTGTGGAGTCGCCGTCTTATCATCACGCCAAAGAAGAATTGTTCAAGCGCATACGCTTCTCGTAAGTGTATTTATCTGATGCTCAGGTAGTTTTTGAGGTCTGTCTGCTGCGCTGTGCGATCTTGGTAGACTCCGCAGGTACTGCACCGTACGAAGATCGATGAAATCTGGCCGGGCTTTTGATTGATTTTCCTCAGCATAGATAGTTCTAAACTCATTGAGTAATTCCATGTACCAAGCCCACGTCCACGGATGGGCATGGGTGCCACTGAACGCGTCGCCATCGTATGAGATCTCGACATATGCCCTGGCAGTTTCTATAACGATTGAGTTTGTGTCTGCAGGAAACAAAACGCAACGTGCTCCAAGTTGCAGGAACTTATTGTCCGCACAGATGCGACGAAGCCGTCTCAATTCAAATGCAAAGAGAATAGTAGGATTTGTCCAGTGAAAGCTTTTAGATGCGGACGTAGTCAAAAGCGGCATCGGTGATCAATTCCCCGATGAGGCAGGCAATCATGGTCCGATGTCGGGCACTTGAGTAGCATAGCACCTTCGGGGAAGCATCACAAAGGAACGAGTTTGTCATTAGTAAGCTTGACTATATATTAAGTTGACCCCAACAAGAAAGACAACTGTGCCGCCCCCGCACGTCAACCATCACAGTCCATTCCACAGAAACGGAACGCCGCGAAATCACAATGAATGTGGATCAACAATCACTTGTACTTGGGGATAGCGACACATCGGCTCCATGGTACACCACTCGCGTTGGAATCGATGTTCTGGAAAATGCGAGAGACATTCTGGAGACGTATGCGCGGGTTTCCCCAGAAAATGTGGAAGCCCATGTGTTGACACTGGTACGTTTCTACTTGAGCACTTCAATAGAATTTGGCCTGACTGAATGGTTGGCATCAAGCGGGATAAAATCTGGAGTGTCTTCCCGTACCCATGCATTGGCCGCTTCTCCTTTTTGGATTTCTACCTGCATCGCATGCCTCTTTATAGTTCTCTTGTCAATCGACTTAAGGAACCCAACGCCAAGCATTTAGACGTTGCGTGCTGTGTTGGACAGGACATACGCAAGTTAGTTTACGATGGCGTTCCTTCAGAAAACATTGTTGGCGTGGAAATTGAGAAGGGTTTTATTGACGCTGGCCACGAGCTGTTTCGAGACAAACAATCCCTCCACACGAAATTCGTCGTAGCTGACATTGTCGACGATAAAGATAGTGTCCTCGAGGCCATGGCTTGTCAGTTTGACTCTGCTCACCTTGGAATGTGTTTACATCTATGGGATCGGGAGGATCAGCTGAAGGCGTTGCGCAGAGTTATTCGCCTACTAAAGTCAGAGTCTGGTGTGGCTATTTTGGGTCACACCATAGGACATGTCGAAGGTATTGAGGTGTCTCTGGGAATGAACGGAAAGCCCAGTTTGAGGCATAACTTGCGAACATAGGAGGCCTTGTGGACAGACTTGTCTGAGTTGACAGGCTCGCGTTGGAAGGTTACGGCGGAAATGTACGATGATGATGACATGAGGGGCCGACTCGGTGTCACAAAGCCGTCGTGGTGGGACTCGCAGTGGCGGTTACTTGCGTTTGAGGTGGTTCGGGAAGCCTGAGGTATGCAGGACTACACAAAGGAGAGTGTTTCTGCAGCAAGTTCGCACCGCATCTTACCCCATGATTTATTCCTCAGATAAAAACATTCAAACTTTGTAGTGCGAGTCATAAATCCAATGGTTATCAAAAGAATACTTTTGTATCAAAGGCTCATAGTGCGCAAGTCACCCGGTGGTTGCTGTAATCTAGCCAGCCTAAATCAACCAGCTGTTGTATCAGCAGCGAAAGCACGTCCGCATCATGTCGCCCCGCGTATGACATCACCTCGCCATGCACCTACTGGATGTTGAAGTCGAGGTTACCGGGGTGGGTGCCGGCAGTTTCCAAACGCCACCAGGTAGCTTACGTTCAGCAGCGCGCAAGAGCATCACGTAATTCTAGTTGAGTACAGTGGCATATGTCCCTCATTGGGAATTGATCATTTGCTGTCGAAAGAAGTTGACATCCAAATTGACATCGCCTGGACTAGTGGAAAGTGACGATGCGCTCGGTATACGTCGTGCGCCACCCGGGACAGCTCGAAGCTATCGCTCAACCAAATACCAATCCGGACAAGTTGAAGTGAGGCCAGCTCAAAGGATGACTGATTGCAAAGGTACGTTCCTAAGGTTCCTTTCTGCTAACTTGGGGAGCGCCCTCAAATTGTTTTATATCTCCGACGTTTATACAGGGTAGAAGAAAGTGGAACCTCGTCCTAGTGGTTTTCGACTCTTCCGTGTTGACAGGTGCGATGATGGCAATATCGCCGGCTCGGAAGAAGTGGCTCCTCAGGTTCACCCGACACTGGAGTTAGGGCAGTATTCTTGATACTTTTCCATTGAACAATCTGCCTAACTGTCCAAGGCGGGTCATCTTAGTTTACTATGAGGACGGCTATACCCTTCGCAATGATGCGAAAACTGATACGAGGTATCAGCTGGCCAATGAGGTGTTTGTCAACATTGGCCATTTGTAAAGGGACGTGTGAGTCCCGATGAGTCCTCTGCAACGCTCCATCTCGGATGGATGCCAACAAGATTGAATAAGTTCTTCAGCATGTGCCTGCGTCGTCTCCAATGCAGATGGTTCGCGGACATTGCGTGCATCTCCGTCCCCTTGATCATTGTTGCTCCTGAATAGAGCTTACCTGGTAGGGTCTGCGAATATCAGCTATCGTCACCTAGGATTCTACTGACGACTCATGCAAAGGGCCTGCTTACAAATAACTTCTCAGCCGAGTCATAATCAGTCCCCTTGTAGACTGGGGCAGAGGCGCACTTGCATCAATCTTCTAGATGTTGACGGTGCACCACAGTGACGGCAGGGTAGGAGAGTCCGGCTGGTTGGTATTCAGGCAGGATGCGTGTGGACCGCGTGATGCCTCATTGATATCACGACGAAATCACCACGCAACATCACCTATCGAGTCCAAGATCCGCCGACAACCTCGTGGTTGACTCGGAGCGCAAGCGCTGGTTGGCCTCATCCAGCAGACTGGGGGCTGCGATTAGTCTCTGGCGTGCGTCCTCGTGGTCCTGAATCTTCCTCCTCCAAGCGGGCCATGGGCGCAGGTTCTTCCACAGGCGCTTCTTGGTCAGATAATCTCTCACGTCCAGCGGCGCGACGCTGTCGATCTTGGTGAGGGGCTCCCACGTGGCTTCTTCGGGGTCATCGGAATAGCCGACCCACTGCACCAGGAGGAAACCAGATCTCGTACCCCTCCCCCGACGGCGATGGTCAAGGATCTGGAAGACGTGGTAGAATTCGCAGCGAAGGGCCTGTTCTCGCACCTGGCGCGTGGTGAGGTAAACCTGGTGCCAGTAGTCGAGGACCTTGTTCTGATCGATGAGCTGAGCGTGCACTTCGGGTATGACGAGTTGTTCGCGGACGCCGACGCGTTTCCAGTCAAAAGTGACGCGGTACGTCTCGGGGTTCAAGTAGTGGTCGAGGATGACGGCGTCCGGGAAATCTACGAATACAATCTTGGTCAGCGGCTGCGATGGCCATCGTGGCTATGCTCTATGCTGTTGCGCCAGGTATACACCGTCAACGGATGGGGAAATGCACCAACCTGTTTCTGCGTCGGCTTCCGGGACGCGTACGGAGAGTGGTGGGGGAGGCATAGTCTCCTGCGCCCGGGGAGTGCGGGTAGCTTCGGGAGAAACCGAGGACATGATGACGGAATTGTGGCGCCGGCCGCTTGACGGCGGAGCGGGAGTCCTGCGGAACGACATGATAGACGGACCCGAACCGGAAAAGATGTGGAAAGACTGGCTCCGTTGCGCAGACTCAGGACGAAGGCTTAAGCGTTGATATCTCGGTTGGTTCTGGCGGCGCGGCGTGATGGGGAAAAAACATGGAAAACAAAACAGAAACTTGAGTCGCGCGACGACAGCTAATTGGTTCAATTTGACTAGCGCAAGGCATCCCTGCGTGCATTGTGTGACATGTTGCCCTCGACAACCAAGTCCCTGGACTCTTATCCTTATCAGCCGCTTATCTGTTCTTATCGGGGTAACAGAATTGGCTATTGAATTCTGCCGTCCAGCGGGAACAAGTCAATTTGTAGTTAATGAGCATGCACTCGTGAATGGCCAGCGTTGAAGTGAGACCTCACACTGCTTTACGTTCCAGGCCTGGACAAGCGCAAATGACTGCAAAGCCAAAGTTCCTTCACTCAATCCCAGACACGAATTGTCCGTCATCTTTCTTCCGAATGAAACCGGAAATGAGTTACAGCACGCGCTACTGCTTAGATCTATAGTGATGTTGATGACCATGCCCTGGCACACACAACCATATCCATCGGAAAGGAGTAGTAGTCAGACCGGCGAATGCCCGGTGATGTATACCTTTTGCCGGCCTTTATCCTTCTCATGCTGCTGGTGATTGTCATTGAGCGACAGATTCGACGCGTGTAATCACTTCACCGAAACACTTCGAGCGAGGTCCTATTGATACAGGGACGAGAGCAGACACAGACGTTCAAAACATGCCGAAGTTGAAAACGTAAACCTGTACGTTCGCACCTAACCAGACCAAGGGGCTGACGCGCGCAGTATGTGCAGAGTTCAAGCCCAACCTCAGTCTACAGATCTGATAGCGCTGGCTAGTTTATATTTGCTGACCGGCATGCGTGTCCTCAAGTATTATTTGGAAGTGTCATGACACAACTGAACCAAGGCTACAAGCATTGAGACGGCAATACAGATGTGTGTACTCATGGCGAAGACCGGCAGATGCATATTTCAGCTTGCAATTCAAACCGACATCAGAGATGTCTTCTGCGCAAGATCGTCAGAGTCGGAACATGAAAAAGCGACCATCGACAACAAACTTATGAGAACCGCAGCATTTGGGCTCTGGAGCCTGGTTGCCGGGCTGCCTGCACGCAGACTAAATTTGAGGGTCACTTGGGTTCAAATGAGCAGAATCGTCTGCGGATTCTTATAAAACGCTGTGAAACTGTTGAACTGTCCTCAGAAACCACAAAGGATGCATATCTTAAGAAAGCTGTTAAACCCTCTGAATTCAATCATAAATCTAGCATGGGAGCTGATAAAGCGCCCAACTAAAACTTTATTTTAGCCCTGCCGACTCTCTTCCTGTCCAGATGAACTAGTCAGTGTCTCAGAGTGCTGATCCACAGTAACAGCCGACGGGAGAGTTCGTCTCAACAGTCATTAGTAGAATGTGCGAAGCCGTTCTCCCACGCGACCGATTACATTGCCTATGCGACCTGCATTTTTGCACGCATAGGCCCCCCGTCCCATCACAGAGGCGATATATTAGCCGCATCTTGTCCAACTCACCTCCAACCATAGGCTGATTCGGGCGGGACGAGGGACGTAATTAGGCGTAATGAGGGCTTCAATCGGAAATAGTGAGGGCTTCAATCATAGTTGACGATTACCTCAATTGCAGCGACCGCCTACGTGCCGGCCTTAGGTTGAAGCGCCGGAAGGGTCTGAGCCCCAGGCCGGCAGGGCCTCCCACAGGCAACTGAATCTTTTGACATTTCGTTTATAGGTGGGTCTTTGGCTGGCCTTTGAACCGGCGCTGTGTCAAGTTTGTGTCAGCTGAACATAAGATCGAGTCAGGTTACAGATCACCAGACAGAACTCCAAAGAGTACCCTGTCTGTACTGCGGTAACCATTTGATTGCTTTTGGACTGTCCCCAAGACACCTATTTAAAAGAAGCGTTACTCGCTCTATTCCTCCACATGGTTCAGACAGCTTCCGGTATATTGCTTAACTCACTCTCACAACCAGCCGATAAAATCTCTCATTTTCCTCTTTTGTTCTCTTTTATTAAGCTCCGATAGTCAATTTGACCTACACTACCAACCATACTAGCGTAGAATGCAATTCTCTACCATCCTCATCGCCCTCTTTGCAGGTATTGCTGTTGCACGCCCTGCTGATGCCCCACCTCCCCCGGACACTAAGGTACGCAAGCTATCCGACTGTTCTTACTACGCTTGCTATATTTAACAGCACATAGTGCAACTTGTGCCGCCAAGATTGCTTTTTCGGGAAAGGAAGCAATGCCGTCTTCGAGAAGTGTTTGAATACATGCAATAAGGACCTCGGATGCACGCTTACGCCTTAAAAAGCTCAAAGACCACAAGGTATGAATCCATCAGGGATGCTTAAGAGGTCCAATGGCTTATACGTGGAGTTAGACATATCTGCGGTTTGTGCGTTATGTGCGGACCTTACATTAGAAGTATTCCTTCACTCCAGCTAGAGCTCCCAATCCATACCTCTCTTTTCTCGACACCCACTCTATAATCTTTGTGACTCAGTATTCAAAACAAAAACGACAAGTAACATATGCACCTCGAGGTCGTGGGCCAGAGTTTTAATATGGAGCGCCACCTGTTAATCTCTTGCAAGACTAGCTGTACTTTAGATTTCATCAACTTTGACATCCAAACAATAAAAGCCATGCATGGGGTCATCCGAATCTCAGTTCCACTTATAAGCCCCCTAAGTCTAAATACTGAGATATAAGGAGTCTCCCGTCTTTGTATGACCGAGACTACAATGAGGCACTTGATCCAAGTGGGTGCACACACCGGCACCGTCTCATACGGCAACATCCTCGTCGAGTAGGCGAGGTAGCTTAAGGTCAAGATGTGCTCTAGAGCCGAAGGCAAACAGTGTTGCAAAAGCTCTAGGAAGTAGTGGATTACGAAAGGATCAATCAACACCCAACCACGTTTGGCCGTCCCAGATCTACAAGCTTCTGGCGCCGAAAGAAGCATTCGACCGTGTCAAGTGCCCCGGCCATGAATTCACGGACCATCCGACCTCGCGTAGGTTCCATCGTCATTATCCTCAGAGGCAAGTTCGATGTAATGTCTCGCCACATTAATCAGAGCCTGAATCTTCGCAACCATCAGGACGGGGATGTCTCGAGGAACACCGGTGGCTATGACCCGACCACAGACGCTTGGTAATTTCGCCTCGCAGTCTTCGTTACACGAGCTGGCGACTACAGCCTTACCGTAGGTGATGGCTGCCTCGGATGCCAACTAATGGGACAAAATTTGATTTGAGATGCCACCGTATATTTCGGAGTCGGAGTTCCACCATTGGCATGAGCGGAAGGATAACAAGGAAACCAATTATGCGACAGCCCACTGAACACTTCAGGTGTGCTTTTCCGTCACTGCGACCATGTCAACTAAACGAGGGTCGTGTGCGACTTGCAATTAAGGCAATGATCAATCGTCATGTCTATCAGAAGCGCCATATCCCTCTCATGTCCTGTTGCGGCTTACTCGGAGCAGACTGCAAAGGCTCTCGTGCGCGCACCCCCAGTATACGCCATGCACATTGTGTAATAGTAACGGATTCTCTATTTCTGCTCTCAACTGTTTCAAACACTGGGTCGACTTCAATGTCCGATCCCTCTTGATCTGGCATACCAAGTCGTCCACAGAGCTTGATGCCATCCCATCTTCCGTCACGTTCCGTCACAGCTCACTTCGAGAAAATGCCAGGGATGGCGAATTGTATTCGCGGCCGCCATCTCAGACTCGGACCAGATTAACGAATGACCATCTTGAAACGAGCGGGCGTTCCGTGGACATCCCATGGTGTGCTGACGTCGACGGCATCTTCTGCCAGTTGTCCCGAATATGGGAGGCGAGTGGCTTTCTGGAGGTCGTTGGCGTTTTGTTTGTCGTTGCTTTTGTGGATTCCTCCAGCGCTCTTCGTACCAGCGAGGTTATCTGTGCCGGCTTCCTTTCGTGCAATGGTGTTGAGTGGTGCAGAATCAGTAGCACTGGTATTCTGGCCATCGACCTGATTGTGGTTCGCACTGGTGACAGCAATTCTCGAATAGGCCGTCGCAGGCGTGACTTTTGCTGTTGATTCTGATGTGGAAGGCGCGCTGGTAGTGTAGGAAGATCGAAGAACGCTGTGCGGAGTGGTCAGCATCGCATGAAAGGGTCACATGGAGCAGGGTAAGACCTACGGTTGGGAAGCCTCGATTCCTACGGCTGCTGTAGCCTCAGAACGGGAGGTCTCGCGGGTATTGTCGGAAGATTTTGAGGCGGAAGCAGAATGCGCCCAGCCCCGGCGGTCGGCCATGTTTTCGTCGGGCGATCAGCTGGAGAAGCGCGATGGATGAGGGTGTTGTGGGATGACGACACGGTGGAAAAGGGTTTGTGGGATAGAGATTTGTTTTAAACGTCGTCAGAATCATCCATTGGAACGTGGAAATAACGGGACAGCATACTGCGAAGGAAGAGCCTGCCTCGAAAGATGCAATCCTCACTCAAGGCAGGTTCCAGCGGGTCCGCACCTACCTCGTCAATGCAGGAACAAATTGGAGGCGACGACCTGACTTGCCGAGGTCCCCTTCCATTTGCATAATTCTCAGTCATTCTCACATCGCCTATACCGCACCGAGACCAACGATTTCAGGGCTATCGTCCCCACGAACCGCGTCATCGCCTCGGACGGGTCTTGCTACGTCTCCAGATTCTCCGGGATCTCTAATCACCGACTGCCTCCACGGTTAACTTCTTTGCTCTTCGGGTCGACAATGCCGGTGGTTCCCACGATAAAAAGTCACAAAAGATGCAGAAAGCAACATCAAGTCAATCTGGAACAGCTAGGTGATCCGGCTAATGGACGTCAGTCGCTCATTGGCTTTTCATCTGTTCAAAGTACGTTTCTAGACCATTTTTCATGCTCTTTCTCCCCTTCCCCTTGGTTCATACAAAACTGACGTGCGCTCTTCGTAGGCTGACTGTTGCCAAATCCCGCTACTCCCTATACTTTCACAACCCTGACACATCTTGCGTCTCACCGACGCCCAGGAGAGACTCGCCCGGGTGCAAAACTGGCGTGCTGAATATCGTCAAGACCCATCTTCTGGTGTTGTTCTGTACGCAAGTCGTAGTCGCGGCGTCCCGCTCGCTTTATCATGTCTTCAACCACGTCTTGCAACGTCATATCTGCGCAACCGACACCTTCGACCAGCCTCGCGCCTGTTCGCTCATTCATTTGGCTTCAATAGGGACTCCTTACATTTTTAGGCACAACTCGAGGGTATGTATCGTTCTTCAAGACCAGGGCCCGCCCTGTCGGTCCAACCTCGGGCCTAGAAACCGTCGCCCATTCGCCACCGTGACGCAGTTTTGCTGCTCTAAAGCTCTGTCATTTTCTATTCATCATACGTCCCGTCTTCTATTCATTTATTTTCAAGAAAATGGTCTTTCTATGCCCCAGGTCGCATTTATTCGCTGTATTTGATCCAAAAATGATGCTACAGACTTTGCCGCTGTGGTGGCACAGAATGGTGCTAAGGGCAGGCCAGTGTGCCTATGCTCTTATTACAGAGCAGTGACGGCAAAGTGTGCATCTAGCGAGGCGCTCGTGGCGGTAGAGGATGGTTCATAATTAAGCGACAGACATATCAGCTGCAACTTCAAATACGTACGGGGACGGGATTGCCAGGGAATGTCTCTAGTAGAGCGCTCGAGAACAAAGTGAGGGAAAAAATATTGATCACCTTCTACAAATATTTTGAAGCAGTGAAACGGCGAGAGGGAGAAAAAAGGTCCATTAGGCGACCAAAACATACAACACCGGGCATTCGCCGGTCGTCACCGACCCGACTACTACTCCAGCCCTTACTGGCTTATCTATGGGAGAGCGGACGGGATCCCGAGTTCTCCAGTAGGTATGGTCGTATGTGTCAGTTTCGGCGCATTGAATTGTTTATACCGGACAGAACTTGTTCAGAAAGGTTAGCGAGAGCATACAGTTTGCGAGATGATATTGAGGTCTATTACTGAGATGAGGAGTATAGTACAGTGGATCGCGATGCGTGATGTTGCGTTAGCTGACATACTGAGTACGTATTCGTAGCGGCCCTTCCCTGTTTGAGATGTCGCGTGCATCCCACGTGCCAAACGTAAGGTTAGGCTTGGAGGAAAACCATCAGACGGCGTAGGGGTAGGGGAGTGGGATGGGCGATTGAAGCAGATACCTACAAAAAGTATTCTTGGGATGAGTACCCTAGATATCGCGTGATTGCGACTTCTATGCCTATCTCCCCGGGGCCGTGTCAACCGTTGTAGATTTCGATTTTCCATAGGAGGCATCCAGTTGTATTTCCAATTTGTCGTGGTTCCAGATGCGGAAGTCGAGTAGAAAACAGTGAGCTTACATCTGATTCCGATCTTTAGATATGGTACATCTAGTCGTGCTTGCTTCCAGGTCAACCCTGCGCAGTCTACCTTGAGTGTCGTTCCTGAAAGCATTGTTAACTTCATAGAAATATTCTTGCCTCCCGTATAAACCAGTCGCAGCTGGCCTTGGCAGCACTGATATCTGTTAGCCAATACATACATCCCTATCGCCAAAGACGTGATTGATCATGGAGAGACTATAGATTGTGCGTGAGTGATTGGTGGCATTAGGTTCTACGGGTTTGAAGTTGTCGTAAATGCATTCGAGTTATAGACCACGAAGTAAATTGTCCACTAAAAACAATAGAAGCAGACATGCCATGTTATAAATCGATATTTCAATCATCTGTAAGTTAGCATGCTTCGAAAGCTCCGCAGAAAAAGAGAGTTACAATATCTCGACGGTGACAGAGACATCCGAGCATTACCCTTTCTAGCTTACACGAGGTCCATGGCCGGATGATTGCGGTGTGGTTTAATCAATTGAATCAATCGGAGAGTGTGGAGAATCAAACTACAGCCATACTGTGGCTGAACCGTGGCAGAGAAACCTCAGCGGCTGGTATAAATAGCTCAGGCATCCACCTTCCTATGGCGCCTGCATCTGAAACTTGCAAACCCCTGTTCTTCGCCAAAGATAGGCTTTTGACCATTGCCATACCCAGCTTCACCCTGCGAAAACGCCCGCAATGATGTCCATCTTAACCTGCTTCCCAACTCAGTCTGCAAATGTGCCACCTCTTTAGGCCCTCTAAGATGGTCAGGCCAGGCGGAAAAGAAAGGGAGGAAAAGAAAAGAAGAGACCCAGTGAGCGTTGCTTAGTGCAATCTGAACACAACCAACGTTCCACGGCTTTGACCCTCACTGTGTGAGCCATTCCTAACGTTTTGGGCCGACGTGGAAGACATGGTCTCCCGTTCAAGGATGCCCTCTAGTGGAGCAGTGGCAGTCATGACTCGGGACCCCAAAAAGCCATATTTACCCGCGAACTACTCGGACATGGGACGGTTCCAGAACAAAATAAGGTTCGATGTCAGCGGCGTAGCGCGGACAGCCAAGGCCGCATGCACTAAATCATAAATGAGGACTGGCAGTGTACAGTCAGCCGAGGGGCCTGGAGACATCCTGACTGCCGTTCAACGACGCGAGTCAAGGATATCGTCATAGCAGAAATTCCCACAAGATTAATGTCCTGCATTATACTGCTGCTTTTAGACACTAACCATTTAGTAAATGACTATGTTTCCAATTGACGAGTCCAATGCATATGACCTCGAGAGAACTGTTTTTATATATGAGAGAGAGAGCGCAATAAATGTCGGGTTGGTTAGATGTTCATGGGCCATCACCGTTCGCTCTACATTCTTTCACCTACGTTCGTTCTAAACGTTCACTCTCGTTAATTGAATATGAAATTTGACGCTCAACGCTCCTTATTTGCCATCTTGAGCTTTCTTTCACTTTCTGCAGTGGCATCTGACCTGCAGGGCGAACCATACCACAATGCTGTCCCGATCCTCCGACGAGCCACCCCGGTAAGGAACGGAACCCATACGGGAAGTGTCGTACCCTCATCCAGCCGCCGTCCTTCGTCTATGCCGCCGTCTTCTGTGCCACCATCCTCTTTGCCACCGTCTTCTGCCGCGCCTACTACCCGCCCACCTACCATCACAAGCCCCCCTGTCTCGTCAGCAGCACCCACGAGCAGTGCTGCACCAGCGACTACTACGGTCAGCAATGGGGACACCATCGTTGTTCCCGTTGGCGTTGTCGTCGTTGGAGGACCCGGTGGTGGCTTCTTTACCATTGCGGGTGCCGCTGCTGGGGCCGCCCCGGTTGCTGTGGCGGCCGGCGCAACCGTCACTGCCGGATCTTCGTCCGGTGACAAACCTGACGACCCGGACGATCCGAACAAGCCGCCCAGCTCTGTGCCCGAGGCGCCATCTTCCGCACCACCTTCATCTGCACCGCCTCCATCTTCCAACTCAGCGGCACCTACGAGTACGGAAGCCCCAACGAGTACCTCGAGTGCCGTGCCGAGCGAAACGCCAGCACCGCATGTCATCTACCCCAAAGACAGTGCCACAGCCCAAGACAAGAAAGACTTCCTCGCACTGATCGACAAGGACCTTGGTCAAGGGAATTACAGAGTAACAGAGGGTAGAAAGGTTTTGTTTGTCGCCGCCAATATCACAACCACGCAACGTGATAACCTCGTCAAAAATCCCTTGGTATGATGCCCGGATGCGTAACACCTTCGCATGTTATTTTAAGCATTGGCTGACAAACCTACCAGGTCGGTGGAGCCGATCCTGATCAGGAGGATCGCAACAACAATGGTGCATCAGTGCTGATCAAGGAAAGAGACCCCAGTGATGAGGAGATCCACGAGAAGTGGTGGATGGAGTCGCTTGACAAGCTCGGGAGAATTCGAAAGCGCGCCGTGGTCAAGCAAGCTAGTGCTCCGACAGAACTCGTCATGCTTTCTCAGCCGCCTGGGGTGGACCTCAAAACTCTCAACGCTTACACATACGACGACAGTGCCGGAGCCGAGATTACTGTTTATGTTCTTGACAGTGGATATTACGCTAGAAATGCTGTAAGTACAATTCTTTCGGGCCAATTTCACGCGCTGCAGTTGACTAACCTATGTGAATAACCAGGAATACACTGGCATGGCCGTGAAGCCCCGCTGGATATTTGCAGGCTCCCAGGAAGAAAAGTCTGTTGAAGAGGATCTCGACCCTGACGGACACGGTACTTGTGCTGGATCTAAGATTAACGGTCCCAAGTTCGGAGTCGCAAAGCAGGTCAACCTGGTCGTGGTCAAAGCTGGAACCCAGGCTTCCGATACCGATGACGCTCTCGACAGGATTGTGGAGGACGTTAGGTTGAAGAAGCTGCAGGGAAAAGCCATTGTCAACATTTCGCGCTGTCGTACGTATAACCTTTCCACTATCTGCAGCTTCTTACTTTTCATCGGATCGAAGGCTCATCAACTAACATACGAGAAGGTTTGGACAGTGCAACTGAATTCAGTAAGAAAACGATGAGAGAATACGTGAATGAGATGATTCTCGAGGACATTATCGTTATCGCGGCGGCTGGAAACGACAATCGTGCTGAAGTAGCCGTAAGTAGGCAGAGTGACTACTCGTCAAGCTCCGTGAGCTGACTACAAATATCTAGCAAGGAAAAGCAAAAGCTGCCGACATCGATAGCTGGCCAGGCCTGATGGCTAAAGATGGCGTTCCGGTCATCAACGTTGGGGCCGTTGATAATACGGGAAAGAATGCCAGCTTTTCTCAAGGAGGACCTCATGTTCATGTCATGGCACCTGGTGTTCAGCTTCAGTGTGCTGCCAATTCCTTCTTCTCCGGCACGCGAAAGAATGACGGCACGTCTTTTGGTTAGTAGCTCCAGCCTCTGGTCGACACATTGGGCGAAGGCCATTCTTACTGACTGATGCATCCTAGCTGCACCCACTGTAGCCGGTCTTGCAGCTTACCTTCTGGCGGTCGGAGAATACCCACAGCTGTTCGAGATTGGAAAGGTAGCCGCCAACATGCAAAAACTCCTCATGGATATGGCCTACCAGCGATCTCCCGACGGAGGACCGGTTATCTTCAACGGTCAGGGTGCCGTCTGTGGTCGTCTTGGGCGAAGCGCCAAGTTCAAAAGACAGGACCTCAGCGGCGAGGCCTGCTCGGTCGTCTCGTCAACGACGACGCTACCCTCTGCAACCCCCAGTCCTCCTCTAGCAACAACCAGCAATCCACCTGCGGCGACAACTGCGCCGCCACCGCCACCACCCCCTCCACCTGCGCCCAAAGAGCTCTTCTCATTAAGCGAGCAAGTCAGCTCTGGTACTTCGGCGTGCTTTCCCACGAACGACTTTAGTGCAACAGCTGGGACGACGTACGGCTTTTCATTTGATGTTAGCCCAGACATGATCGTGAGCATCGAGACAGGGTCAACAGACGAGGGATATCACCAATCCAAGGGGCCATGGACAGGTACCTTTCTCGCCCAGTCAACGTCTTCGGTTAAGATCTGCGGATCTGGCGGTTCCGGTACATTAGCCTTCAAGGTCACCGAGGAGCCCTCCGAGGCCGTCAAAGCACCAGCCGGCAAGGAGGTATTCAAGTTGGATGAGAAGGTTGCGAGTGGGACGACGTCTTGCTTCCCGACCACTGGTCTGAATATCCAAGAGGGGAACTATGGGTTCTCGTATACCACCTCCGATGGCATCGAAATTCAGATCGGAGACGATAGTTCCGGGCCAAAATATTTTACTGGAAACAGAGCCTCGGGTGCAGGATTGATGTACATCGATTTCTCGGGGGGTAGTATCTCGATTTGCGCGACAAACAAGGGTGGCTCGGAGGCACCTCTTTCTTTAACTATGACCCAGTAACGTATATACACTAGAAGAATGCATAAATGATTCAATGTCAGGAAATGATGAGTAAGGTCGAGACCAACTGGTCGCGCTGACGGAGTGACGGGGGATTCCTGCCGATACAGCTGATATGCCGGGCCCTCTCGCGAAGATTCTGTTAATTGCAAGCTGTTACTTTAACAGCGTTAGAATTTTGTCTATGGGACTCTCATCTCTGATGATGGATACTCTGAAGGCCTTGGTCCTTCTCACGCGGAGTCTGAACTGGGAAGAGATGCGCCTTCTGCTGTGTAGTTAAGATGGTAAAGACGTACCATCGTGTTGAACCTGCTGGTTCCGAATTAGCCGGCCTTGTTTGTTACGTAGAGAATGAAGCAGAATCGTGAAGCTAACACATTACAATGCCGCAATCAGGACCAACCAGCGCCAAGACAAACTCTGTGTACAGATGTATGGGCAACATACCATGCAGTGGAACTAACTAACTTGGTTCGCTGCATAATGTGAGCATGCTGGACTTAATATTGGACTTGGACCTATTTGCAAACAGCGACAAGTGGGCGTTCGTTGCGAGCAGTTATGTTGATGTTGTGACTTCATTTGAATGATCTGAGGCTGCTAGAAGCTTCATCACACGGCATGGAGTTGTGTTCGTGGCAGGTTTGGCCTCAATATAGCCGCATCCGAAAATATGAGGGGTGGGAGAACTCTGGCGGCATGGAATGTAGGAAGTAGTCTTCAAGAAATCTTGACGGCTCTTGAAGCTTCCAGATGCGGGTTAGGCTGTTGATGCGGGCGGGTAAAAAGCCGAGGGCAAGCTCTTGGTACTCTTCTTTTTAATTTGGCATGTTTTGATTCAAAGAAATCAGAGAAAGTCCCACGTCCGTAGGCACAAATTGGTGGGCAGTGACTCAAAAGGTGAACGGAAGGGTGTACAGTACATCCGCTTTTGCGCTTCCTCTGAGGATGTCGCAGCCTGGCGGACAGGTCGCAAGATGAAGAGATTGATGACGTCGGGTTGGGTTCAGTACAGTTGAGGAAGTCACACCTCACCAGCATGGCTTCTATTTTGGGGCTGCCTGCCTACCTTACCTAAACATTGCAACCAGCAGGCACCCACCTACCCTCACGCAACCTTGCCCAACAAGTTCAACAACGCGATTGCCTCATATTTGAGGAGGCTCGCTTCTTTCACCCCTCGGAAAGAACACGTTCTGGCTCTCCGACATTGCCCTCTTTCAACACCAATCGCCGCTCTGAAGTCCGACAGAAGCCATGGCTGCCACCACTCGATCAGCGTCCCTTCGGCCCCAAAACTGTCCTGGCTCTCTCGGACATCGCCCGCAGCGTCGCAAGTCCCAGTCGCAAAAGCCAAAAGGTACGTGTTGCTGCCCTCTCAGCTATTCCTTCATACTGGACTTCTTCTGATATTGCTTTTCTAGAGATGAAGGCTGAGCCAAAGCCCGTTACCACCCCGAAGGAGAACGCCTGCTTCAAGACAGGCTACATCCGCATCATCATCACAAACTGTGTTGCAACAGACGAGACTGCCTCCATGCTGTCAGACCAGCTTCAGGCTCTGGAACCTCTGGTCGCCAAAGGTTTTTCCTGCAAGACTTTCGAGGGTAACAGCGAAAAGATACTCATCGAGGCAGCAACATGCTGCGAGATCACCGCGGCAGCTATGGGTGACTTTGAGACCACGATTCAAAAGGGTTTTCCGGAAGCCAGCTACGAGATCCACGTCCGCCCCCAGGGAGGCCCCCCCTTCCTTCCCTATGTCTAGATGGAGAAACCGAGGCATGGAATCGAAAGCGGCTGGAGAGAATTGCGGGGTGGATGCATGGACGGATGAAAAACAGGCAGTTAGGCAGCGGCCGGGTGTGCATTAGAGCGGGGGAACATAGATGTAGTCGTCTGCGCGAGATTCATATTCAATCCCAAAGTTCATTCCAGGCGTCGCGATGTCTCCGATGCCAGGTAACGACTATTATTTTCCCGTCGACGATGTCTCTCATCTGGTCCCCATGTGCATTGAGTTGGCGATGGCTTCATGAATGGGGGAACAACCTGACGAGTGGCAACTGATTCTTTCCGTGCGACAATAGGGTATGTGATGCCATCGAGCTGGGCCGGACCGGAGACACCTACACATTGTAATATTTTTGGAATATCCCAGGAAGGGACCGCTCACCAAACTTCTGCTTTCCTCTCTGATTCCGCGCCGTTCAAAAGCACGTGCCGTCCGTTCAAGATCTTCTCTCTTCCGAGTCCAGTTCTCTCGGAGAAGGATGCTGCCTCCTCATCAGACAGTCCCGTGTTGCTTCATCTCGTCATCGCCCTTCCCTTTGTTCATTGAGCGTTGAGGAAAGCATGATCAAGGCTCCTCACTCATTCGCTGATGGTAGCTTCGAAGTGCAAAGTGGTCCTAGAGTAGTGGTAGGTCCTGAGAAAACGCCCAAGTAGGAGCTTTCCCTAGGGCAGGCTCGAGTTCTTCCTCACACCCTCGGGCCATTAGGGACACAAGGAAAGGATGCTTCGATGCACTCACTTTTCATGCAGGTGCTGCATAAGCAAGGCCGAAAGTCTTGGCTCTCGAAGCGACGGAACCTCTCCGCCATAGAAGCAGTGGGTTTACTTTATCTGGTCCGTCCTGCTGTGATAAATGGTATCGGATTTTATCAAACAAGATGGTGCTCAATTGTGCTTTGGAAAGTGAAGACCATCTTTGCCTTCCTCTGAGATGATTATATTGGAGCCTACTTGACCGCTCTTCCGTATCCCGCCGGTAAGGGGCTGCAAGGCGCACCTATTAGATCTCCGTTTCCCGGTTTGCCCCAAATCAATCCGTAGCCTCTACCGTATCTTCGCCGTAGCTGTCTTTCAAACATTGCGACCATTCTGGCTCCTCACCGTCAGCGGTTACCGATGATCCCGAATCACTCTTCTGGTCAGACTCCAAGTCCTCCGATTCTTCCTCCATCTCGTTGATATTGCCGTTGTTGTCTGTCATGAAGAACTCCAGCGCTGCTGGTCCCCAGGCATCAGGCTTCGTGGCCTGGTCGATGTCGCAGAATAAGATAGTTTGAGCAGTCTGAGATCATAGGCATTAAAGTTAGAGACTGTGAAAGTTGAAGAAAAGAAGAGGAAAGGAAATAGAATAATCAGCACGGTCCGACTCACCAGCCTCGAGCTCGTGTTCTGGGCCTCGCACCATTCTCTCAGACCTGATGTAGTCACGCGGCCTTGCAGGATGTTCTTCCAGACACCATCGTCGCGGGAAGGCGTCTGCACATTCTTGAGGGCAGCGCGCGAGGTACAGAATTGGATGTTGATATCGAGACCGTGGCCGAAGGCGGTGGTAATCTTTTCCTGCGTCAACGAGCGCAGAAGCCTCAACAGCACTTCAGTCGAGACAAGGAGAACCGTCTGGGCAAAGGGCGGCGAGGCTTGACTTGCGTCATTGCTGAACCAGGTCAAAAAGCCCAGCAACTGAGCCCAGTCGTATTCGTTTGTCGGCAGCAGCGATGTCTTGAAGTGGGCTGTCAACAGCCTGGGTCCTGCCATCGTGGAAGTAGGATGCGCAGCCTGTGTCGTCTGGTACTGCGTTGACAGTGTTGAGTGCGGAAGGAGCTTGGGCGAGGTGGTGTTGCCCGGGCCAAGACAGCTACCTTGGCTGGCTGGCTGGTTCAGTAGATTGTTGATGGAAAGAAAGTACCTTAGGGATCTACTCAAAAAGATAGGTAGTCGCAGTGAATGTCAAGTGATTTTCAAGGAAGCGCCAGCAAGAGCCAGTGGCAGTCGTGACTGCCCCATCCGGGCCCTCCACGGCAGTGCGAACAGACCTGAGAACGGCAGGTGGCCGTACCCATGTATCTTAGGTAAGGTAGGTAGGTAGTGAGTGAAGGTAAGGCTTGACGATGGCGGGACAGGAAGACCAGACGATCGTCTCGTCGCTCGACCGTCCTTCAGCGCCAACAATGCTGCCTGCGTGGTTGCCGCCCTAGCCATCTCCGTTCTTGCACGCGACTATTGGATGGGGTCAATTTCACTCACGTAAGTCCGGATCCAAACTCCGAGAACTGCATTCGAATCTCGGCTGCCAAGGAACTAGTCAGCAGAACCCTCGAACGAAAAAAGACTAACGTCCTAGAAGTCCATGATCTGTTGGATATAGGCTTGCTCGAATTGAACAGCAAACCAGGCTGTTGCGGCCAACCCAACTGGCCAAAATCTGGACAAATGAGAAGACCCTCGAGGTGTTCTGCCGCGGTCAGAATTATGCGTGCTTATTTCGAATCTTTCCCTTTGTAGTTCGTCTTGTAATCAACAATGCACAGTGTCTACGCCCCTAGAGCTTTCTGTTCCGTTTGGATCTGCCGCAGAGAGACTGGGCAGATAATCTGGGTTGCATGCATCAAGTGTTGAACCGCATGTCCGTGAGACTTGATGGTCGTTTCATTCAGCTGTTCTTCAACGAAATCCAGCCTCCAACCGTTATACTGATGTATAACAGCTTCCCAAGTTTGGGTTATTGATGGTTTCATAGCAAACTTCCATGTGCCCCTCCACAGAACTACTGCTTGCGGGATGTTGCGGAATGCCTGATACCTAAAGAGCGCTGCTAACCCCTTTCGCCCGTTTCAAATCTCCATAGTAACTAATTGGGGCATTTTCATGGCTGCTGCCGCCGCTTTCTGAAGCATTGCTTCAATCTCAACCAAGTCCCCATCGGGCGTAAGTAGCCTTGAAGTAAGAGTAAGCGAGGTAAGGCTCGGCCACTCCCAAGAGGGTTGCACCTCGAAGAAACTGCTGGCATCCACTATGAAGGATGCTGCGAGTTGCTCCAGCTTGAGACTGGCGAGAGCGACTATCCGGCTTACCGCTGAATCAGGTTTGCGGAGACTGTCGCATTGGGTCAAATCGACTCCGTTTAGGAACCGCTGCATCGTAGCTGGATACTGTTGATTGAAGTTCTCAAAAACTACGAGTCTCTTGAGACTGCTGTTGAAGAGACGGATAGACTCGAATAGATATTGGTAATCTAGACAGAAGATTTAAAAATCAGTAAATGAGCATGCAAAGCAAGTCAGAGCAAGCAATGACTTGGAAGAACAAGGTGGTGGCGTATCAGCACTCACCTTTGTCTGTAATATGCTGTGGGAAGTCCCATTCTCTCCAGGGCTGGTAGTGGATGTCTTTGAGCCTAGGAAACCGGGCAAACATATGTGCCAGGGACGGCGGCTTCCATAGCCGGCGATTCTGTTGGCGGAGAAGTAAACCAGTCACGGCCGGGAATGTTGGAAGCTGATCCCACCATTGGAGCTCTAACTGATCACTGTCAAACGGTCCCCGCTCCATGACCGAATGGAACACTTTTCTGATAGCATATCGAGGTGGGGCGGCGTGTCGAAACCCAGCAACCCAACCATGTTGAGGGTCATGATAGTGCCGGCTTGATCTTGCCTTCTCAATACCATACCCACTTGACATATTCGAAGGGGTGTCAGGCATAAAAGTAAGATACGGAAAACAATGCTCCGAGTCGCTGGGCGAATATATACTGATATCCAGTATCAAATCAGGCCGAAAGTCCCATGTGCTGAGAATCAAGAATAAATCCCGGAATGCCGCGGTGATGGGACACTTATCTGTGTCGCTGATTTCACAAGCTTCACCCCACTCTTCTAGTGTGAGCCTTGTACCATCAGGTGCGCACGTGGTGCAGTCGTAATCATCAAGCTCCAAGCAGAACCAGATGTAGCTGACGAGTGCTTGATTTCTTTGAATCAGTGCACCAAAGTTGACGAGGCGTGATGGTGTCAGTCTGATTCGAGCGAAATTATGTCGCTCGATCTCGATTTGCCACTCTCGGGACACAGTGGCCAAGTGACCTTGCGAGCAACCTGCTCGCATTGGTTCATGGAGGATAAGAAGCCGGATCTCTCTAGGCAAGCGATTCCATGATGACCAGTGCTGTTTCTGAGGTGACATTGGAAGCATCATGGCCTTTACCCCACAATTTGGCAATAGAGGAGTGTAAGTAGGAAGTCTTTATATGTGAGCTTATGCGATTGATGCAAAATAAAAGAGCGCCCGGAAATTACCAGGTGAACAGAACGATATGATGTACTTGTATTTGTTGTGGCAGTAGTCATGTGGCGGAGTCAGGAACTTGCAACTCCTTCGTTGAAGACCTTTGTACAAGGGAACGACCTTTTCAACCTTACAGCAACTTTCCAGCGGACCTTGGCAGTTTGGGAGAAGTATTTCGCGTATGGGCCCTCGATTGACCAAAGGGGTACTCGCGAGTATGTTCTACGTATTTAGGAACATTTACGACGTCATAGTTAAACTAGGTAGAATGAAGGACAGAACAAGCAAATACTGACCTTGCGGGCATACTCTGGCTGGTCGAGGGATCATTGTAGTTGTATGTAGACGTGTATTGGATCTTGGAATGCGCGTCCGTGAGAATGCCAGCCAGGCGTTTCATGTTGACGTGGGGGAGGGGGAAGCTCGAGTTGCTCGCGCCGTTGACCTGTTTTTGGCTTGTAAATGGATGTCAGCGTCAGTTCCATAAAAGGATGCAGAGTAAGATACCATATCTGGACCGGACCATCCATGATGGTTGTCGTGAACTCACTGAAGAGCCCATTAAACCAAATTAACAGGGGCAGAGGCCATCGGGCTGGTCATTTGAATGGTCGAAATTCTAACCCGGGGGACTCCAATACGCCCAGCTCGATGTAGCCAGCTACTGGCTCAAAGGGTGCTTTATCTACCTATGAAACATCTCAAACGAGCAAATTCTGTGTCCCAGTCTAAGTCACACAGACTATTAGCAAGCGTCGATTTACGCGTGACAAATTGGCTCTGGACGTTCTTAGACCTTCCATCAAGACAGACGGCGTATTTGGAGGGGTTAGTACAAGTGCTGCCAGCCCGTATTGCCCCGAGTCTTTTCGCCGGGTGTAACTCCTCATCTCTGCATCTGGTCTACATCTAACCGCTTTCGGGGTACCCTTGCCTGTCGACTTAATGCGGATCCTTTGCAACATTTCTTGCCTATCTCGAAATTTCAACATTAGCGCGTACTCGTCACGTATGCACGCACTCTGCTTCTTCGTTGTCGTTACTAGAGGGAGGTAGGGTGATACGGACCTCTCATGGGACTGAACTAGGTAAGAGGCTCCCACTAGAGTGAGGGCTTTTCATTCAAAAATCCACAGGCACCGTGCCCAACAGAGTTCGATAAGTCCGGGGACAAGCCACTGCACCACGGACATATTCGGCCAACCTTGGAAACACCCCGTCTGCTTAAATTGCCGACCGAACGCCTTCGTTGTTACCAACTCTCTTTTCCTTCCTCTAACACTACTATCATATCACCAGTTCAGTCTTTCCTCAACTCTTTAGTTATTAACCATGGAGAACAGTCGTGGTAAGTCACCTTTAGGCTGCCACAAGGGACAGAGTGTGGGTGTCAAGAACCACAATCTAATCATTGACTATAGCCCCGATCGGAGGCCTTACGGCAGGAACAACCCCGTTCCAGGGAGATGATCTGATGGAAGAGTCGATTGGTCACCGAAGCTCGTGCCAAAATGGCTGCGATGGATGCTCCCAGGACAGCCAACAAAGCGTCACGGTATGCGGCGACGATTGCCATCACCACATCGATAACGCTGTGTCTGTCCCCGTTGTTGACATGAACGTTAACACCATTTGCTCTCCCTCCTGCGATTGTTCTGCTCATGATGGCTATGGATTGGCGGCATCAGCCCAAGGTCCTGCTTCGCAAGACCCTGCTTCAGTCCAGAATTATCAGCCAACCACGTCTTACTTCACCACAGTTATGGCTGCGAGTGGGGACTATTTTGATTATATCCCTTCGTCTAGCCTTGCGCCTAGCTTTGTCTCTAGCTATCCGCCTACTTATATGCCTAGCTATGCGCCAAACTACTCCTTTCCGCCCGTTCCTCCTCAGTCTCTCCTTCCACCTAGGCCTCCCTTTATACCAGATTCACCTACGTCTTCCGTTCCGCTTAGCTACGCTAACGATGAATTACCCCCTCGTGTCGACGACGATGATCACATCCACTATGATTCTTTCAGAGGGTGGCTCGACGAGAACGGAGACTCTTCCTCCGATAAGGATGGTGAATCTTGCACCGACGACATGTTGTCGTATGTATACTCCTCCGAGGAGAGCGACTCCTCCGACGAGGAGGAGGAAGAGGAATGGAACTCCTCTGACGAGCTGGACGGGGAAGGGTTCCAGGACTTGTCCACCCCCCTATCTAAGGAGTATGCCATTGAGACTACGAAGGGGAATGGAAACATGACAAACGAGATCTCCGAGGATAATGGAAGCCATGAAGAAAGCCCAAGATTGTCCGACAGCACCAATAGCCGCATAAATACGTTTGACGTAAGCAGGGAGTGCACGCCGTCTCAAGAGAATGGCCATGAAGATGAGGTGTTCCTCTACGCGATTGAGAATTCTGAGATTGAGCACGTCGGTTGGCAAGGTAAGCTGTTAACTCCAAAGTGGTTACATCCCCTGTACTAAAGTCTTTCTTGCTAAAACTCTATACCAGGCAATCCCAATGGTCAAACGACGATACGTCCCTCTGGCGCATGCAAGCGCAAATTGGAAGCAGAAGAAACTGTAGAGGAACATGAAGACAGTGACGGCAACAACGAGAACCCGCGGACGACTAAGCGGGTATGCATTGCCCAAACGCCCCAACAGGAGGCCGACGGGGATGAAGTTCGTCTTCTCGAGACGATTATACAAGATCCTGTGGAGTTCTTGGCTGGCAGGATCAACCACTGCGGCAACGGCTCTGTTCGCAACGATGACATGCCGATCATGAGCAGAAGTGATCAGCAGAATAGTGAGCAGCTATATTACCAGCTCGAGCTGATCTGTGAGCTTTCTCGAATGGGGCCAGCGATTGCCAGCTCCGATGCCCCCATCTACGGTAGCATCTGCCACGCCATTTCGGGCATGGCGATGGCAGCTTTACAAGCAGCCGGCAGCGAGGGACTTCTGGACCGATTCGAGTCGTGGCGCTCGGAGGCAAAGGAGGAGGTTGAGCTCCGTAGTCCTGAGAGGGCGAATGAAGAGGTTGGCGTCTGGGAGGTTTCCGTTGGGAAACCTACCGGCGAGGACCTTGGGGACATCTATTCAAGGTCGGGTTAAGTCCTTATACGCATATTCTTGGTTGAGATTTCTTTAGCTGCAATCGTTAAGTTTTGAGTCAGGCGTTGGTTTCGACGTGCTCGATAATGATGATCTACCTCGACTCCAAAGGCCCCAGTGCGAGGGGAGACTTTTTCTGACTGCGACAGGTTGGGTACGTACCATTAGGGACCTTGACGGACTCTGTAACTAGAGGCGACAGTTGACAACAAACGATGAGCACCTTGCAGAGGCCAAGTCTGCTCCCTCCGTCAGCACGACTCATTTTGCCTCGCCGTGCAAGAAGACGCCGCCGTCCCAATCCCCGCACCCGCGGCAATGTTACGTCGCTTCACCCTCCTCCCCTTGACCGATGAAATGGCAGGCTCCTAGTATCTTTGGATCTCCCTCATAGCTAACCCACGGTCTCTTTACAAAGAAAATTCTCCTTGACGAGAAGGTTCTTGGCCCAGTGAATTTGTAACAAGGGTAAATTCCAAAGGTGCTTCCAGCTGAAAGTATGACCCAGTCTGGATCGGCTGTGTTAAACTGGGTTCCTACATTTTTCCGTGTCTAAGGCAGCAGTTCAGGTGGTCTTCTATCATACTTGGCTCTCATAAGTTATCGCTCATGTCCAGTCCAATGGAGCCTGAATCAGTGTCGCAAATAACCTCCGGCGAAGTCCACACTCAGCCTTCAGAAGAACACGCCGAGATTGCCACCTGAACCTACAAGAAAGGAAGGAGGACTTTGGCATCAAATTCGCATATAGGGAAGTCTTTACCGCGGTGTCACGCCGAGGGGCTTACCTGGAGTCCAAATGTTGGAACGAATTATGATTTTGGAACTTCTTGAGTATGCGCCATGATGCAAGCCATGGCGCGGCTCTGGCTGGATGGAAAACATTTGACTCCTAAGACCATCAACACCGAGAACCTAGCGACAGGAAAAATTGGAATGCTCGGACTCGACTCCGAGCTTGCACTTCTTGTGGTAAATTGGATCTGTCATTTCCAACGGCGGTGTTTCGGGTCCTGCTCAGGGAGATGGACTGGGACATTCCTCGTTCATGAGGTAGTTTAGTAACCATTGGCTCGAGTTCGGGCTGATTTATTTTCTTACATTTTGTTATCCTTGCAAAACCGCAAGTCGCCATTTTTTGTTCAGTGTCCTTTACCCACAGCAAGGCCAGGTATGCACAGCAAGGCTTTGGGTCAGAAACAAGTTCGATCTCCCACGCGACGGACTCTGCTGTCTTTGACCAGCTATTCTTCCATGACCAATTTCGAGCAAGTTTTGTACAACAAATCTTCAACCCTCATTTCATAGCTTCCCAGCCTGAAGCAATTTGGGCAGTAGTCCTCTGCCAGGCCGGTCTGCTGCTTACACTCTTCCACCAAGAAGCCAAGCTCGGCAGGACTTGGAGAAACTCGGGGTCAGTCTCCAAAAAGCAGTAAATGAAGATTGCTGACTAAATATATATGAGGGAGAAATTGTTGCCTGCTAAGTACTGCCACGCAGACAATATGCGGTCGAATACTTGCAAGTTGGCCTTCACCTGGCGCAGAGACTCCTTCATTGCCCCGGGTGAACTGGAACGCCAATTTTCCTAACATGACACGTAAGTCAAAGTCCTCCTTTTGCAACTGCAACAAGACCGATTGAGCTACGTACGGTTGTACGACTTTCTGCTTGAGATACGTGATAGATGACGCGGCAAGATACGATGAGTCAGGACATGCAGCCTCCTCAAATTGGGCGATGGCTTTGTAATCCTCAAAGTTGGGCAGAAGAGCAGTGCCCTCACTGGCGTACTTCACCGCCAGCCAGCGGGAAATAGCTTTGCATTCTGTGTCATGCCACATCTGGTCAGCACAAGAGTCTCGGCCTGTTACCTTGAGTGAGTGCGGCTACCGCAAATTTTGTGATATTTCCATCAGCGTCAATGTCCTCCAAGATGGGCACCTTCCCGAATGGGTGCTTGGCATTCATAAGATCCCGCTGCGTACAACGAATCATCAGCAATGAAACGGGTCGGGGGAACTGACTGCCAATGTCATTGTTGCCAACTACGTTAAGACTCATACCTTGGTTTCGTGGCTGGAGAGCTGGACGTCGACGTGTTCGAAGGACATCCCTTTCTCATGAAGCGTGAAAATACAAATAATGGTAAAGGGTGAGAAGAAGTCTCCGTACAACTTGATCATTGAAGCCATTGCAAGGGAATTGACTGATGCTGATTTGATGTGGCAAGGACAGCATTGAGCTAACGACAACGCGGGGTACAGAAGAAAACCTCAACATGTGACCAAGACGGGTAAAGGGAAACTTAAGATTCAAGATACGAGTGAAACCAAAATGGTACTTGTTCGGATTTTCCGGACGATCCCACGAAATCTGTTTTTCCCTTCCCAAGATACGCATACTGTCTCACCAATTGGCTGCCAATGTAATCAGTGAGACCCCGCTTCAGAGGGAATCCGGTCTGCAGAGAGCACTTGGACCGGTGCAAAGTTTGTGTCCATCCGGCCCCACATTCCGCAGGAGCTAGTCACATATTCCGAGATTTCGACATGTCACACAGAATTGAGCTTGTCCTAAGAGACTCCTCCTTGAAAACATTTCTCTGGCCTTATTACAAAGTTGCATTTGTGGCAGTCGCTAGATGATTCAAGCCAAAGGACCCCTTCGTGGGTAGCCTTGCGCTCGCTCCATTTATGTCGGGACCATGCCGGGTGCCATACAGTGAAATTAGGGTGCCCATTTTCAATTGATAGTTACATATTCATAGAGACGGCAGTAAGTATTGATGATGCCTTTCAATTCTGGTTGTCATACACAGCTTGTATCTTCTTGGAATGAGTCGGCAATAGCCATTCGATTGCGGCGTTCGCATATTTGTTTCCGTCACACATCAGCTGGTTCAAGGTCCAGTGGCGTGCAAGAGATTATATCAAAGCAGCATAACGATCATTTTGATGTTAACTACGATATATCAGAGTTTCGTGCAGTAGATCCCCGCAAGGCCACGGCCTAAATCATATTGAACTCTGGGGTATCGTCTACCGCTGTGGTCCCGCCAAACAGCCCTTGAAATTTGGAGAACAGCGTGAAAATATTCAGCCACTGGCCCGCAAGGAACAAGAATGCCCTCGAGGATACCTAACTAGTGTTCAAGAGCTTCGCTAAAGTTAGCTTAGAGCGACCGAAACGCGTACATGGCTTCAATCACGGTGAAATTACATCTCAGCTTACAATGAAGCTATCTCCGCCACTCTTCCTCACCTAGTCAAACGCTCGAGGTATCATCTCACTCTCATACTCAACAACCGCGTTGATTATTTCTCCAGCGGACACGCCACTCTTGTTGGAATTATGGCTCGCTAACCCTGTCAGAAATGGAATCATCTTGCCGGCGTCGTACATGGCTTGGTTGCCACCCTGGTCTCTGTGCATCAGTTAGCGAATACTCTGGCGGGGCCAAGATCAAGCGTTTTGGGAAGGAGGTCACCCCGAAAGCTTCAGCAGGCGCCGGGAGGGACTCCAGAAAGGGGACGGCAGCCGGCAGGCATAAATACTGAACTCACCGAGGCGGTAGCATGGCGTGAATAGCGTCGCCCATAAGCCAAATTCGGGCATGACCGAGCTCTGGCTTATCTTCCGTCCGGACGTTCTGCCGCCAGTTCTTAGCCAGTCGCTTTGCCACCCTTGTCACGTAGATGTGGAGAGGAGCGCCTCTCATAAGGTCAATCATCTCGTGGCTGTTCTCGTGTCAGTGCAAAGCCTCCTGATCCTGCGCATGGAAAGTAACAGCGCCAACGATCTGGACTCACGACGGTGCCGTCCACTCCTTGATGGCTTCCGCAAAAAAGTCGTATTGTCCGTCCAGAGAGCGCTCATGAAATTCCTTTGGCAACATTTCTTCCGTGACGGCTAGGCTGAGCATGCACGAGGCTTCATCCTCGTCGTACTCCCGCCCTGCTTTCTTTCCTTCTTCCCAGACGTTCCTGTTCGGAAGATACACTAATGATACCTTTTAGCGAAGGATCTAAAATGGGACTCACGGCGAATGAGGTGGGGCTGGCCCGACATTCCTCCTTTTCTATATGCGGTTGCTACTTACCTCTAAAAAAGACATGTCTGTTGTCCGCCCAGCCCATCACTAGCCCACCGACCAACTCCTTGGACATGGTTGCGAATCGTTTGACCGGGAGACTACATTTGGCGGCGAGGGCCACATGCCTGGGGATGCAGTCGAGGCTCTGAACGCCGACCAACTTGTTGACCTTGGAGTAGCCACCAACCGCGCCGATGAGGACGTCGCAGTCGTCGTAGGATCCGTCACTCAGCCAGACACGGACCCGCTCATCGTTGGAGCCGGGGTTCAAGATTTCGTAACGCTCGATGGCGGTGTCGTAATGAAGCTTGCCAGCCTCGTGAAGGGGGTCAGCGAGACAATCGCGTAAGAGGCCGTGGGTGATGGGTGCGTTTTTGCCGTAGGCTGGGAAGCGGCTCAAATCCATGAGCTGCGTCCAGTCTTTATGGAAGATTCGGGGGGGCTTCAGCCTTAGCCTCGGTGGCTGGGCCGAACTTTTTGATGATGGACAGCATGTGGTCGGTCTCGAGAAACGCGCGCATGCCAACCAATGCCGGCGATGTGAGGCGGATTTGAAGACCTTCACGCGTGGAATGACGTTCCGCGCGCTCGTAAACTTTCACGTCTACGCCGTTCTTCATGAGCCCGCAGCCAAGAAGGTTGCCCGCAAGGCCGCCTCCGATAATAATTACCCTGAAAGACATGTTGTTCAAGCAATCACTCAGACTGTCTTTTGAGAAGATGATGGCCGTGTAAAACTGATAAATATCAAAGATCCTGGGTGCATGTCTTACTACACTTTTTCCAAGTCCTCAAGGACCTGAGTGGGGCTGCTTTTGCACAGCGATACTTCCAATCTAGGACACTCTTATTCCAACAGCACACAATCAAAGGTTCCCATCTAGCGTGTTGGGTAAGCTGAGGTTACTCGGGACTGAGCCGTACTGCCCACCCAGCCATGCAGGGAAAGTCAGGGAACGTGCCGCACATGCTCATCTGTAGTTCGTTGACTGAATCGTCATCAAGAGATGGGAAATTCCGAGGCGGCATTTCCGGCGTTCCATCTTGTAGAATCGCAGTGATGGTATCAGAAGCAAGACTACAGCTACGTACCTTGGCCTATCACCAGCCTACTAGGAAGTTAACCTTTTTGGTGAATTAGGATATAAAGAAAACAAAATCTAAGGACGACGTAATCGAAGAACTTATGAAAGGAAGACATCAAAAAGCAGTGTAGTTACTATCCAAACTGTTCATTTGGCTTATTCTATTGGCTAAATTCTCCGTAAACCCTTTTTGCATATTTTCTTCTTTGAATTGGATTCGAAGAAAATGGCGGCGACTTTGCCATACGAAGGTCCGTTTCTACGTCTCTCAGCTGGCTGCTAATCAACTCCCATTTTCCTTCTCGAAGACCGCGTCAATGACGGAATACTAATACTTCATCGTCGAGATAGGATTGGGACAGGCTGAAGACCATTCTAGCGCCAAAGCTCACGGTGAGTTTCTAGATCCCCAGTCATTTCTAGACGAGGGGTGTCAAAGCACCCACCAAAGCTGAGTACATTTCAAGGTCGATTACAGCAGTATTGGAGGTCCGAAGCATGAGGAAATAGCAGCGGAAGACTTTGTCGCCGTTATTAGCGGCCCGGAGATGTTTGGCGATGCCTCACTAGGTACACAGCACCTGATTGGCGCCTCCAAGTGGGAGAGGATCAATGCGGAAAAGGTTGTTGGCCACCACCAGATGCGCTCCAGCTCGGTACGCCTGACTGGCGCTGACAGCGGGGAAGGAAAGGTTGAGGCGGATCGGAGGGCTGTTGTCATGCAGTCTTACGTCAAAGCCGACGGAAAGTGGAAGTTGGCTGGGCTGAAGCCGATGGGTCGATAAGGATTACTTCTCTAGAGGACTTTCAATCATTTCGGACAGTAACGCAGCGAGTTGCTATAGTACGTATTGTATCAGTGCCATGTACAAGGAACCTGATCACGGTTCGCCGCAGTACCGTCTAGTCGGCCAATCTCATGTTGACCTACTTGCATGTGTACTCGGAGGCCTCTGTGCAGGGATCCTAATCGGCGGCCTGCTGTCCGACAAGATGATCGCCTAATTCACTCGGCGCAAGGGGTACCACATGTCCGAGTCGGTGTCGCCGCTGCTGCTACCGCTTGGGATCGCCATCCCGCTGTCTACTGTACTGACTGGGTACGGATTGGCAAGTGGCTGGCACTGGGCCGCCATGGGCGTGCTCTGTGGTGTCGTCAGTGTGAACATGACATCCGGGTGCACTATCCTGATGTCGTATGCGACAAATATTTACCCCGACAAAGCTATAGACATAGGCGTCGTCGTCAACGTGTTGAGAAACGCAACAGCAGCCGACATCTCATTTGCTGTAGTGGATTGGTGGACGAAGGACGGCTGGTACACATTCCTTGCACTGGCTCTTGTCGAATTCCTCATCTTTGTCTCGGTGGCGCTCCTATGGATCTGGGGCCCCAAGATTGCTCATGTGACGAGATCTTGGATGTGGCTTTAAGGACACACTGTAGCCTGAGAATCTCCCAGGGCGCAGTCACTGGTCGCTATTGGGACAATTGCGTGTGTGCTCCATGGCCGCTCAATGTTGCTCGCCACATCCTCAATTGGTATCCCTTCCTAACATGACCTGGAATCTGTATTTGTATCGTCCCTTGGCATGACTAGCCTGTCCTGCCACTAGTCATGATGCTTGTTGTCTAAATCGCTCAGTGCGATACAGCTAGGTCTGAGAAACGCGCTTCAAGCAGCAAAAGAAACCGAGATGCCTGTCACGACACGGAGTGGGGGTGGAGAGAGGGGCCGCGATGGACTTGGCGGGGCCGAAGATCTGCACGTTGACAAGGAGCTCAGAAACTTTAGAGTTTTTGCCCCGGCCCGTAGTGGGGTTCATCCAATCATGTAGTTCGTGTATGAACAGTTTAATACCTTAGATATATTCACTGGGTTCGTGACGCTTAGCACATGGTGAAATACTCGTATCAATACACACATTTTGACCCCCCCCCCCTGCGAGGTTTCTAGACACTACAACTTCCCTGGCAAATTTTGTAACTTTAATACCGCACCAGGGACTGTCACTAACAGGTAAAGAGGATCTCTTCAACTTTTAAGAGGTCATTCTCGATGCTAGTGTAATATTAGAGTTTCGAAGAACTAAGCAGTATAGGAATCATTTGCTGTCAAACAGAAGTCCTTGGGACTTCTGAAAACCTTCCCTGGGATATCCCGACCTCGTACTAAATACGTTCGTAGAATGTCTGTATCTCAATGGCAGACGAGGGCAGCCAGTCTCATTGTCAATCTCTATTTACAGTGAGCCATTGTTTGGCATGATATTTCGTGCTTGATGTACTTCGTCTAGTTTGGAAAGCGGGGGATGACATGATGTTCAGCTTGTCGTTAGAGGGGATCTAGCCTGTTTAGTTGCCGTATCTATGACGTGCTTTTTCGCTGCAGAAAAGAGCAACAGCACCTAGAAACAACAAGTCGACCGTGCGATCTGCTTCGATACCGGTCCCGAGTGAAAGCTGTGCGTTGCGACTGGAACGATCCATTTGGTCACGTCACGCCTTGCGGTGCTGTATCTCCGGCTCCCTCTCTTATATTAATGTTCCATAGCTGCTGTGTATGACCAAGATGCACATGAGCACAGTAGCGGATTGAGCGTGCAAGTAAACCACTTCCTGATAATTGCAGCCTCCTCCCCCATTTCAACTTCTCTAGCAGACCAACCTAATTGCGGCAACTTCTCTGCTTTCTCCATTTGCACCATCTCAAAACACAATCAGGCGACCGAGCTGTGGTCAATTCATGTCGAACAAAACATATGGTGTGCCTTATAGAATAGCTAAGATAAGCTGGCGCCGGCTGGCTGGACAGTGTTTAGAGCGACGACTTGACGATTTGCGTATCAAGACAACCCAGTCCCCCAGCCTATATAATCATTACAGGTAAGCATGACAAGCACATACGACCATACCCATTGGAAAACTCGGGATCCCGTCCGCTCTCCCATAGATAAGCCAATGAGGGCTGGCGTAGTAGTCGGGTCGGTGACGACCGGCGAATGCCCGGTGTTGTATGTTCTTTTACCGATCTNGAGGGCTGGAGTAGTAGTCGGGTCGGTGACGACCGGCGAATGCCCGGTGTTGTATGTATTCCTTTTTGCTTCTGAATCAGTTTGCCCGCACACCCAGGGCTGAGGCTTCTGTGGTTACTATCAGTGTGAGTGGGAGGGACGAGCTGTCACTCACGGCTTTCTAATGAGCCGCTGCGGTGCTGTAGTTGATAACATGGATGAAGTTTATGTTTATTATTCTTGCACTTTTCTTATTTGTTTGCGGCCCAGGCATTTTAATCTAGCTTTTGTTAAGGGTTTATTCTGGCTTTCTCTTCCCCCACCTAGGAAAGGCCTGCTGTGGGCGTAGACAGGTCGCAAGTTTGCAACACAACTAATGCAGCACCTGTGTCGCATCAGATACATCTCAATATAACAGCGACCGGTCCTATTCATTACCGTTTGATGATATATCAGTTCAGGCCCTCAAGAATCGATTGCATCAAGCTTCCATCCCAATCCGCAATGGTCTGCCCTCTCGTCGATGCTGCGCGAGGGTGATGACGCTGCCGGCGACGCGGACAGCTGCAAGTATCCTTGGCGAGTATTCCTTGCAGCTTGTTGCCTTCGACTTCAGTAAGAAGAACCTTGGGAAAGATGTCGACTCTCCTACGCTGCCCGCCAATGATCAGAAGCCTCTTCAAACCACTTCGAACGAGATCTCGCCTGGTAATACGTGGAATTGGGGAATGCAGAGCTTATCAGTGTGCAAAGTAGTAATGTGCAGACAGGTGGTGGAGGTGCCTCTTGTGCAAAGAGGTACGTAGCCTGGTCTGTGCATCTTGCACCTTAGCTGCAGTGCAAAGCCCGTCATGTGCAAGCGAGGCCACCCTTTTGGTCCATTTTGATTGGCTGGAAGCTCCCTAAACCCTCCAGTGTCCCCACTCAGCGTACTGGTTTGTTGCTAAGTAGGTACTGTAGGCCACACTCATGCTGCTTTCCACCCTTTCCTGTCGAGCAATTTCTCCATTTCACACCTGTCTTTTCACGCCGCTCATCGTGCAATTGGTGACATCTCTCAATCCAGCAAAACAGGTGAAGCCGTCCCACACCAAGTCAGCGATAAACCAGCCTGTTGTATCTGCCGCTTCACCAAGCAGCAGCGCCGTCTCCACCATGGCGACACCAAGGCGACGCGCGCTGCAAACGCCCAACGCGACCAGCCCCGGCCCGACGCTTGACTCCATCACTGTCGCCGGTGACGGATCATCGTCCCCAGAGACGCCAACAAGCGACGACCTCCCCGACGCGACAGTGGGCACTCCCAATCAATCTAGAACAGAGGCATCTGCATCTGCTTCTTCAGCACGCCCAAACCGCACGCCTGGCCCCACTCCTCGCCCGTTCGCCGCCGAGACAAGTAATCGGAAAAACAACAATCGGTCGACTTTGGACTTGCTCTGGGGCAGCAACAACTGGAATCCTCCTCCTTCCATCACTGGCCCAAAGCCCAAGGACCAGCTCGGTGTGAGGGACACGTCTATTCTATGCAGCATATCGAATCTTGCGGTTGAAAACAACGTCGACCTCCCGTCCCTGTATCGTCCCGGCGGCGTCATCTATGACGCTGCCGCAGCACTTCACAATCCGATCCAATGGTCGTCCAAGGTACTGTCGGAAGCCTACAAAAGGCTCAGAGAGCAGTACCCGGACACAGTTCTCAAGCGCAAGAAGCACCCAAACGCTTCACGCCTGTCGCTTTCCTCGAACCCAGGCCCGCCAGGGACGCCCACCCCCCTCCACCTGACCGCTGAGACCCAACCGACTGCCAGCAGCCAGGCTCCTGTCGAGTCACCACGAGAACTTATGCCGCAACCCATTGTGCGTCGGGCCCGCAGCCTCGAAGCTGCGTCTTCGCTAGCACGGATGCTCGAGCAGCGCACAGAGAATATAGCTCAAGCAGCACTCCATTTCCATGACCGCGACTTGGCGGGTTTGACGGATCTTCAGAGGCGCTGCCTGGTCCAGTTGGAAGGGAACTTGCCTCTGACAGTAGACTCAATGCGCCATCTTGGCAAATGTGTCGAACGGCGCGTCGACCACCCTGATGCGTTTTGCGCAGACTTTTCGTACATAACCGGAGACGTTGATGGTGCGATTCCGGAGGGTTTGCCCGATGGTTGCGTTGACAGTGGCACCGACGTGCTCCTGTTGCCGATTCACCACAAGGCCGACGACTCGTGGTCTCTTGCTATCTGCAACTCGGAAAGCGGCGTTTTGGAATGTTACTCTCCTAAAGCATCGCAAGGTCGTCTGCAGTCTTTGCGGGACATTCTTCTTCCTTGGTTGGATGCCTTTTTCCCGCATGCAGACATAGACATGCACGTCCTGGTAGGTCCCTTTTCAACGCATTTTGAAGCCGCAAAACTGACCATAGAAACAGGAGGGAACAAGTTGCGAACACCCTGCCGACAGTGGTGTTTACGTTCTTCTAGCGATTGAAAACATGATGCGCGATAGCCAGTCTTGGGGCCTGTTTGCGCAGCTCGAGGAACCCGCCGAAAGCCTTCGCAAAGTGCTGCGGCAGTACCTGTCTGACCTCACGATCGATGAAAGAAAGCCCAAGCATCGGCAAAGCGATGGTCCGCGGCCGACTACCAAGCGCCCTAGTTCTCTCGTTGCCCCCGAACAGCCAGCTGCCAAGCGACCCTGCCTCGCACGTCCGATGGATCACCGCGCACGCGCCAGCGCCAGCGCCAGCGCCAGTCCCGCGCTTTCAAGAGAGAGCCTCGAGAGAGTCAAGTTCATGATCAGACAAGCAAAGGTCACTTATCAGGAGCAATTTCCTTGCGTAGCAGATCTGCAGACCTCCGTTGCAGCGCTCGAGGCCAGGCTTAGCGACTTCAAGCAGGAAGCCTCAAAATGGCAAGCAGCCAGCGACGCCAAAGAGTTTATCTTCAAAGAGGCACAAAGCAAACAAGAAGCAGCAAATCATGAACTTCTGGATGCCCAACAAAAGCTAGATGAAGTATTGGCAGTTGCAGCAACGTTGGAAAAGACCCCAGGGGCTAGTACTTCAAGGTCAATTGCCAACATCCTCGAGATCACACGCAAAGAAGTTCAGGCATGTCAGGATGACCGAGAACTTGCCAAAACGAGACTTCATGACTTGTCGAACAAAATAAATGAAGCGAAAGAGGCATTTTGGGAAGCCCAGGAGAAGCTCAGCACCGCTGAACAGGACGTGTTGACCACGAAAGAATCGTTGGACGATGTTGCCCAGGCACTCCAGCTGGGCAAGTATCTGGAAGACTTTACTGGTTGAGTGCAAGGAGGGACATGTTTTGAGCTAAAGGGAGATAGCAAGCAGGCGGCGTTTGTCATCGGTCGGTTGCGTGTTTGTCTGCGATGGAATTATCTTTCCCGCGTGGAATTTGTTTGAGATACCCACGATCAGGGCTTGATCTTGTAGATACCCTTTCTCACTATTATAGGTTGGTGTCATTGGTAATACTCAACCGGCTTTCAGGCTGCTAATCAAAATTGTCGGACTCGCATGATGCACCCGAGCCGCGATACCTTCCATGAACAGTACGATGAAACGAAGTCTTGCGTGTTTATCAATGGTAATTTGCCAAGCGTACGTCCAAGATGAAACCTCTCCTCGATGAATACTCTCGACGTGACGTGCTTATCCATCGAGAGACAATGAGCCTAAGGATACCCGTCAATGAGATGAAGGGAATGGACTGAGACCTCAGTCAGTGTGGTAATTAGTCGGCAAGTTAGCGTGAACTTTTCGGTCTTCAAAGTGCCCCAAATTGACGTGACACTGGCATGGTGAATACATCATAGACCTTGCCCGGAATGTGAAAAGGCATTCCAATATCACACCAGTCTGTTGGCACCATCAACGCGACTGCCTCTGAGTCGAAGACGACGCATGAGAACATCTCCGACGGTGATGTGTTGCTGTGAGCCTTCTGGACTGAAGGAGTAAGAGCAGAGCTTGTGAAGTTGGACGGTCAGCTGGAAAAGGACAAGACTGAGATGTGGGTTCTGAGAAGTATGATGATTCATACCGTCAAGAAGTTCGCGCGGATTTTAAAGACCACTTGAAAAGCATGTACTACAGCTGAGACGGACCAGTGGCTTTCGAATATGATAGAGTACGCACGGTTTGTTTATGGCGGTGATTCTAGAATTCGGGTTCGTCTTTCTGAATTGATGGCCTCGAATCTCGTTTCATAGTTCTATTTTTTCTCAAATTTGTCCCGAGTCCCACTTCTGGTAGAGGCCTGTTGCTGAAAGTGAAACAACGAGATATCATCTTGGGCTGGATTGGTTTCTTTGGTCTCCCACCCTAGGCTTCTGACATTTCCTTCTGATACTCCCTCCCGAGCCTTTCTCAAGCGGCGTTTCGGTTCGAGATTCTCCTGTCAGCTGTATTCTGAGCCCACGAGTTGCTGTATTTCGAGTCGCAAGTCTGCGCCGCCGCTAAATTCGTAATATATCACTTCGCAGGAGATTCTTGTTGTGATGAAGAGCATCTTATACTTCTACATGCTAGCGCATGCCACCTTCGGCATCCACATGTTCTGGTCTCATAAAACTACATCAGTCCCACTCAAGCATGAAACCAAGCTCGACCCCAGCAGCCACTACGCAATGCTCAGTAGGTTTGCCGTGGACTTCGTCATACACGGCCCCCCATCATCCTCATGCCCGAGGACGATGTCCTCTACGGCTCCAGAAAGAAGCGTAAGGCTGACAGCCCAAAACCAGAAACTATATGTAGACTTTAACGAGACGCCCACAACAGGCACGGGCGCCACTGGACACTCTACAACCTCCTCAGTGTCGACAGCCGAGCCTCACGCGCCGAGATCTTGAAGGCACCCCAAAAGGTGTATGAGGAGCTGGCCCCCCTCGCAGTTGACGAGATGCTTTTGATTGGTATGGCTGTGGGCTGACAAAGTGCTTCGATATCGAGCGCACATGGCTCACAGAGTGGCAAACACCAAATACATCTGCCGTCTCTTCCGGAGGCAATCATCTTGAAGAGAATCCTCATCACCGAGGCACGTGGTGTCGGTCTGGCCAGCCGTCGCTGTGTGCCGCGTCCAAGCTCCGGTCTCTGGATGCAGGCCATTGTGCAACCCTGGCAGCGAAGCGACAATGGCATGGCAGCAAGAGGGATGAGGGGGCGGGGCGTGGGAATAAAAGCGTAGGCGGGATGAACCCCCAGACGGAGAGACCTAGGAGGCGAAGGGTCCAGTCGTCAATGGAGTTGGAATGGAGAGGTGATAAGTTCCTTGTAACTTGGCAGTACACCGTTTGATCGCGTGGAAATTGGTCTGCCCACCCAGCTTCTACGAGGTCTACCGGGTGGCAAGGCGGATGGACGACTCGATTGGGAGCAGTAGACAGGGACAGGGAGATGAAGCAGACAAACCAGGGAACCCAACATAACTGGCCATGATTTACTTGGCGCCCCCCTTTCCAAATGACGCTCTCGAGACCCATCTGCTTTTCTTCCAGTTCCTCTAGGTCTTGTTTTCGTAGAGCTGCCACTCGCGCTTGTGACGCAGGTACTCGAGTGTGCCAATGTTGACGTCGCGTTCGGGAATCAATTGGCGGCTGTGAGTCGATAGCGACAGCCACACGGGGCCGTACCAAGCCACAAACTCGTCAATGCTGGCCTTGCGGGCCACCTCTGGGTGGGCGGGAACGCTCACGCCGACGGGTTCGGACTGGTCCTGCTACCGTGTTGGCATCGTGGGGGTCTGAGAAATGAAGAGAATCAGCTGGTAGATGTTGTAAACCCACGGAGTCTGGTGGCCGAGCATCCCCGGCGTCTGCGCGTGCCCCTGCCTCTGCCTCTGCCTCGCCGGGACGATCAAAAGCCGCGCATACGCCGTCAAGGTAGGCGGCCTGGTTTGACTCTTCTGTTCCTCTGCGATGTCCCACCTCCGGACCTCTTCCACATGAAGGTGGCTATAGAGTTTGAGCTGCGAGCCCATACGGTCCACAGCTTGGTGTATCGCGACGACGTCAGGTTTGAGCGTGGTGTTGGTCGACGAGGGGAACCGTTTGTGCCAATACGAGGTGACCAGCGTGGCGGGCGTGCGGGGGCGGCCATGGTGCTCGATAGGCAGTGGTAGTAATGGAGCTGACGTAGGAGCCTTGCCGTCGTTTGCATCCTCGAATTGGTAAGGCGTGGAGATGCATGCGGAGGTAATGTCCTACACCCGAATTGCTAGCTCTTCGTGAGAGCCCGTCCACCCGTCCAAGGTCGATGAATGCCATGACGGGACCGTTTGTTTTTTTGCCTCCGCCATCCGCGAGCTCTGGCGACTTGGGCGAGAATGGATTCACGGCGCGTAGTGCCACACGAAGATCCTCATCTCGCTGCAGTGCCGAGGTCATGCGCAGCGACAGAACTTGCGAACCATTTGTCATCTCGCCCAGTGCTATCAAGTCGGCACGCGCCGGCTCGGGTTCGGGAGGGAAGACAAGATGTGGGAATCGAAATCGGATTTGACGGGACCAAGGAAAGGTTCGACTTTGGCCAACAGGAGTGGCAGCTGAGAAAAGTAACGGAGGAGCTCGAGACGGCCATTGATTGGTGGGGTTTGGTGTTGGCGCGAGGAAATGGTGCTCTCTTTCGGGTTGCGAGTCTTGTTTGATCTCAGAAAAGAGCATCAGGTTGAGTGGATTGTAGGCCTCGAGGAGATTGTTGATGGGGCGGTGGACGGGGATGACGAGGCCGAGCGGGCGCTGGAAGACGGGCAGCCAGACCCAAATGGAGAGCAAGAGAAGGGCAGCCGGGAGGGCGAGCAAGGCAATTTAGCGAAGCCATGGCCGGTCGAGTTTGGGTAGGAGATGCGGAGGCAACGCGGGGCGTTTGCAGGGAGAGAGCGCGAGGTCAACATCGCCGCCGCCATGCTCGTCAAGGTAGAGGCCATCGGGATGCGGGGAAGAAGAGATGGGCAGATAGTCGTCAACGTTGTCGATGTCGTCGAGGGCATGCAGATTGACGGCGTCGGTCAGCCACACGTTTTCGTAGGGGCGGCGTGGAATGAGCGGGCACGGGGCGTCGGTGACGTAGATGGAGCCATCCTGGCCGAGATGGATGGCGACTGCCGAACAATAGGGCCGCCGGGCATGGAGGCAGAGATGAAGACTTGGGAGGTCAGCAGCGTCGGGGTTCCAACGGAGCTCAATGGTCGAGGTAAAAGGGAAAACTTGTCGGTGGGATGCAGGAGCTTTGTTCTGGCTCGTCGTTAGCTGCGTTCCGGTCGCGTGGTCGGAGAGGGCGCTTCATGGTGGGTGGGGAAGAAGAGAGAAAACAGACCCATCAGCGGTGCGGGGGGTGTGAATTGAGTTCAGTTGGTGGATGGAGGGCGGACTACACCGAACACACCGATACACCGAGTCTCGCCCCGGTCAATAGTACCCCACCGTCAATGGTGTTCTCGGGGTACAGTACAGTCCCTTCCCTGCATCACACCCAGCACCGCCATGGGATCTCCTTGAACCCGCTCAAGACCGGCAGTCTACGCACCACGGAAGACTCCAGGCCTGTTAGCGACCTCCTGTCGTGGGTTAAACGGTCCAGTGTGGCAATGCATAGGTAACGAAGGTAACTCCTCCATGCCTGCCCAACCAGTGATCGGGCGAGATCGTTGGGAAGGCGATAACATCGAGTCCAGCAGGGGGGCCCGAAAGAGGGGGTTTCCTGTGGAATTGCCGGTGTCTTTGACCACTTTTGAAGCGGTCTACCTGCTGGCGCTGTGTTGGGGATGCTGAAGAAGGTGCTGGGCAGGCCACAGGTGCACCTGACACCGCCAGCGATATGTCAGGGGCGGAGACAGCATGCGTGCTTGCGTAATGGTGTTGCAATTGAACATACCGATGAAACGGTCCTACCGGTTATGTATCCTCCTACCAGTTTTGCATTGGGCGGGCAAGAAATTTGGGAAAGTCTCCGTGCAGGTCTGGTGGTTCGCATGAGCCTTTCGGATGCCCCGCCCCCCGCCAACGTCACTTCATCTCCAACAACAACAATAACGACCCTCCACCGACCCAAAACGACAGAATCACTCGCATTATCACACCATTCGTCTACTACAGTCCATCAGACCAATTATTGAATTCCCACTACATCAACATGAGCCAAAGCAGCAACCAGAACTCCCCCGGCCAGACTCTTTCGGATGTCATCGGATCGAACAATGACCATGCCCAGACGACGGAAGGCCATGAACAGAAGACAGAGGCGGATAGTCAAAGCAGCAACTAGAAGAAACGCAGCCAGAGTTC